TGCTACTTCAGAGATAGGCTCCTATACACCTGCTGCATATTCCAATTTTAGTGTCATGAAAGCTCTAAACAATTTATTTAGGGTATTACAGTCCGTGTATTTAAACGTAATTCTAAATTTGGAAAGCATAGCAAAGGCATATTACTGAAAAAAGTCAGAAAAAAAGTAATCAAGAGACATTGGAATAAATACAATTGTCTTTGCAGCCATTCCTGCCTCACGACTGGCTCGGGGCGACCGCCTTGTGGCAATTGTTCATTGACATCCTAACAATTTATCTAGAATTTGCTTGTCCATTCTCAAGAATGAAGAACAATTTTTATTTTTATTTATATTACTTCTAAGCTGCATCAGTTATGAACCCATCCCTGCCCTTGTGTGGCAGTGCACAGTAGAAAGTTGGTTTTCACATATCCATACACTAAAACATTGATTGTAACCATGATATATATGTGCTTCAGCCTACAGTTTAGACCTATTGTCTTGTGTATGACCCTCTGTCCTGCGTGACAGTGAATACCAGCATTATCCTCACTTTAATAAGACTATCAAAATCCTCAGATTAGGCAAAATTGTAATTAATTTTGTCAATAAAGATGTTAATAATAATAAAATTGTTCATTGAAAGCTCATGAATCATGACACCATCACAAGACTTGCAGGCTTTGCAGAAGCCAAATTAACTTGCATACAATTTTGTATTATTTTCCGGGTGAGAGCCATGGTTATCTTGAGGTTATCTTGAGATGATTTCGGGGCTTTAGTGTCCTCGCGGCCCGGTCTTCGACCAGGCCTCCACCCCCAGGAAGCAGCCCGTGACAGCTGACTAACACCCAGGTACCTATTTTACTGCTAGGTAACAGGGGCATAGGTTGAAAGAAACTCTGCCCATTGTTTCTCGCCGGCGCCTGGGATCGAACCCAGGACCACAGGATTACAAGCGCAGCGTGCTGTCCGCTCGGCCGACCGGCTCCCTACGGTCCACATGGAAGGTCCACATTTTCCATGGTCCTCTGGTGACAGTTTACTATCCAGAACCACCACTGGCTCTTCTTTCGTTGTCAAGAGTTCTTTAATGTCTTTTCACATATTGTATAGGTTGTGTGTGGGGCCTATTTAACTCCAGTATTTTTTACCTCACCCCATCTATGTTAGTTATACAAAAATTTTAGGAACATCTTCTTTCCTCCTTTGTCTTTCACTCCACTTTCCTTTATCTGCTTTGTTGGTTTGCTTTTTGTGTAACATTTCACAAGCTTCTTAATGCCTACCAACTTGTTAAAAAAATTGTTCTCTTATTCCTACTTTTATTTATTTTGCTTCATCATGATTCAATTACACCTTCTCTGTCATCCTTTGACAGATTTAAATGACCAGAGTTTCGCATCCTCATTATTTTGCAAATTTCTAGCATTCCTATAGACTTCTGTCATTTGTTTCACTCATTTATGTCACTTTTAAGGGGCGAGTTTACCGTATACATATTTTCCTATCCTCCTAAAATCACTGACAGTTTTCTTTGTTCTGAAGCCCTTCTCCTAAACCAACTACTTCCTCAAAAGATTCTGCCTCTTCTGCTGCTCTGTCCACCCAAGATGGTGCTTCCTTTTTCCAACATCCAAACATTATTATGGACTTACTTGTAGCTACAGTGTTTAGTAATAATTTACTGTTAGTAACTAGTACTTTCCTATTTGTCCCTCTAATATATGTTTCTTGCTGCTCATTTCTCTTTTTGTTCACCTCCAAACATACTTCTTTGATTGTTTCTTTCTTTTTTACAACATATATATGTTTATCTATCATATCTACATTTAAACTGGGCTCTATCATATTTACATTTAAAACTGTGTATGGAGTCAGCCTCCAGCACATCACTGCCTAATGCATTCCACCTGTTAACTACTTTGACACTTTCAACTCTATTCTGCTCTACTCTCTACTGTGTGTGTGTGTGTGTGTGTGTGTGTGTGTGTGTGTGTGTGTGTGTGTGTGTGTGTGTGTGTGTGTGTGTGTGTGTGTGTGTGTATGTGTGTGTGTGTGTGTGTGTGTTGTGTGTGTATACTCACGGGCAGGAACAACTGCGCCTTCCAAATAGAATGGTCGTATGGAGTATGAAGAAAGTGGTTATATGTGGGTTCCTCGGGGGTCTCTTGATGCTGCTCAAGTTGCTCAGCTTCTTCTGCAAGAGTCAAGGTGTCGTTACTCACCTTGTTCAAGGGATGAATGTTCAAGGCAATGAAGTAAAGGTCATTCATAAAACTGTTGGGTTAGTGGAAGGCCTTACCATCAGGGACAATGCCTGTGCTTACAGAAGAATTGGTAGATACGAAAAAGGAAAAAAATATACCTAAAAGGTTACCCCGAAATGGAGTTAAACAGATTGAAAAAGTACTTAGAAACACTAGAAAATTACAAAATGATGAGAATGGGCCATTGTGGTCAATAAGATGAGACTTATCAGAGGAAGATAGGGCAGAAATGAGACTGAACTTCGAAGAAGCGAAAAGGAATAAGGAAGAAAGATTTTTTTTTCTACAAGGTGATATAGGGGTTTCGGGAAGTCTGTGAAATGTTACGTAAAAGCAAGCTAACAAAATCATTGGGCGGAAAGGGGTAGTGAAATGCAATGGAGGAGGGAATATATTCTTGAAAATTGTGTATACTAACAGAGATGGGGCGAGATTAAAAAATACTTTGAAATAAGTACATTCAATAATATAATATAGCTTAAGATGCTCTCATCCTGAAATTATACTTAAGCAATTACCCACTCATGTACACACACACACACAGTGGATAAGGAAGTACGTAAGCAACAGTAAGTAATGAAAGCAACCGTAAGTAATGAAAGCAACAGTAAATAATGAAAGCAACAGTAAATAATGAAAGCAACAGTAAATAATGAAAGCAACAGTAAATAATGAAAGCAACCGTAAATAATGAAAGCAACCGTAAATAATGAAAGCAACCGTAAATAATGAAAGCAACCGTAAATAATGAAAGCAACAGTAAATAATGAAAGCAACCGTAAATAATGAAAGCAACCGTAAATAATGAAAGCAACCGTAAATAATGAAAGCAACAGTAAATAATAGAAGCAACAGTAAATAATGAAAGCAACAGTAAATAATGAAAGCAACAGTAAATAATGAAAGCAACCGTAAATAATGAAAGCAACCGTAAATAATGAAAGCAACAGTAAATAATGAAAGCAACCGTAAATAATGAAAGCAACAGTAAATAATGAAAGCAACAGTAAATAATGAAAGCAACAGTAAATAATGAAAGCAACAGTAAATAATGAAAGCAACAGTAGGTAATCAGTTTACTTTGAGGTGAGAGATCTCAGAGTAGTGACATGTTACTAGCCTTGTCCCACTGGGTTCAGTACTTGGAACTATCCTGCTTCTGATACATCTATTCCAAGGGAATAAACTCATTCCTCTCAATGTTTACTTATCATGTAAAAACTATAAGGAAGCCCACGACAGCAGGTAGCAAGATCAAGCAAGATGACTTGGACAAACTGAAAGAATGGTCCAACATAGCTAGTTTAACTTAGATGAAAAATGTTGAAATTGGGTGTAGGAAACAGGAGGCCAGGCACAAGGTATCAAATGGGAGATGAAATCCTTAAAGAATCGAGCAGAGAAAGATCTGATAATTTGATATCACACCAAACCTGGCTCCTGAAGGATATCAAAAGGATATCATCAGCGCCATATGCTAGAAGATATTTATAAAAAGTGCCCCATTAAAAATGGTCTATGATATTTAAAGGCAAATTACTCCGGGTAATGATTGCATGGGTACCAATATAAAACTAAGAAATTCCCTCTCACCAGATGTGCCATTATTAATGCATATATGAATATGAAATGTCATATGCTATTCTCCCACATTAATCTTCCTCTCCCTAGCATCACATACACCTCCGACGACTTTTTTCCACATCCAATACTTCCTTCTTTCCCACATAACGCCCACTGACACCTACGGTACTTTCATCAACAAAGGAGCCACACAGCATAATCTCTGACTACCTTCATTTCTACCAGCCTACCTTCCTTCATAAACAAATCACACACAGAGATCACACTAATGTGATGCATCAAATGAACAAATCCACAAGGGCCGTGACGAGGATTCGAACCTACCTTCCTTCATGTACGCAAGACACTCTGCCACAGCTTCAACCAGCCTGCGCACGCGTCCTGAAATTATAATACAGAAACAAAATATTAGAAATAAGTTGAAGCAACTACCAAAATGGGACAAAAAATTAAATTATAATTAAAAGTCAATGTTAATATAACATTTTTTTGTGGGGAGGGGAGGGTAAATGTAACCTTTTGTGCATTACTCCAGAAGAAAGCCTTGACCCAGGTCGAAGCTGGACTGACCCCTGTTGGGTCACTCAGAGCTACTTCCTAGATGACAATGTCAAACAATATTTACTTCAGTTATCCACTGCTTTTCAAATTAATAATTTTGTGTTTGACTTTCTTTTGAGTCACTTCCAATATCTTCCTAACCGATTCCTTCTACTCTCTCTCACTGTATCTATGTATTTACGTATGTAGGTTAGCTTAGCATTTTAAAAGCACCGAATCACCTTCTGTGGTTGATTGTTCAATAAACCCTTGAACTATATGTTTAACACATCTCTAACCCTGTCCATGGAGGACAGAAGAAAATGTATATATGCTGGTTAGCATTGTAAATGTGTGGCCACGTCTGAGGTAGAAAATAATAATAAAAAAAACTCTCTCTCACCCTCATATATATTCTTCTTTATTAGTGCCAGCAAATGGTAACTGCCTGACTTGTTTGGTATATATAAAGCACAAGGGACCAGAGGACATATGAACAACGTTAGGCTTCCACCTCAAGAAAAGGCATGGAAATAAGAGTTCCACCTCAGGAAAGGGCATGGAAATATTGGTTCCACCTCAAGGAAATGGCATGGAAATAAGAGTTCCACCTCAGGAAAGGGCATGGAAATATTGGTTCCACCTCAAGAAAGGGCATGGAAATAAGGGTTCCACCTCAAGAAAGGGCATGGAAATAAGGGTTCCACCTCAAGAAATGGCATGGAAATTCCTCAAGGAAATGGCATGGAAATAAGGGTTCCACCTCAGGAAAGGGCATGGAAATATAGGTTCCACCTCAGGAAAGGGCATGGAAATATTGGTTCCACCTCAGGAAAGGGCATGGAAATAAGGGTTCCACCTCAAGAAAGGGGCACCATGCCACCTAGTTGAAGTGGAAAACGGTTGTTTCCAGCTCTATGTCGTTTGCCGTTTATTACAGCTGCTCGCTCTTCTATGCCGTGCCGTTGTCTGCTTGTGCCGTTTGTGCCGTTGTCTGCTTGTGCTGTTTGTGCCGTTGTCTGCTTGTGCCGTTTGTGCCGTTGTCTGCTTGTGTTGTTTGTGCCGTTGTCTGCTTGTGCCGTTGTCTGCTTGTGCCGTTGTCTGCTTGTGTTGTTTGTGCCGTTGTCTGCTTGTGCCGTTGTCTGCTTGTGTCGTTGTCTGTTTGTGCCGTTGTCTGCTTGTGCCGTTGTCTGCTTGTGTCGTTGTCTGTTTGTGCCGTTGTCTGCTTGTGCCGTTGTCTGCCCTCCTATGTCATGCCATAGCAATCAGGCTGCCATTTTAAGGAGGAATGAAAATAGGGCTTCCATTTCTAAGAGGGACATAGGACTAAGTTCTTCCACCTCAAAAAGAGACATAAGACTAAGTCTACCACCTCAAAAAAGATACATAAGACTAAGTCTTCCACCTTAAAAAGAGACATAAGACTAAGTCTTCCACCTCAAAAAGAGACATAAGACAGTCTTCCACCTCAAAAAAGAGACATAAGACTAAGTCTTCCACCTCAAAAAGAGACATAAGACTAAGTCTTCCACCTCAAAAAGAGACATAAGACCAAGTCTTCCACCTCAAAAAGAGACATAAGACAGTCTTCCACCTCAAAAAGAGACATAAGACTAAGTCTTCCACCTTAAAAAGAGACATAAGACTAAGTCTTCCACCTCAAAAAGAGACATAAAACAAAGGCTTCCAACTCAAAAAGAGACATAAGACTAAGTCTTCCACCTCAAAAAGAGACATAAGACAGTCTTCCACCTCAAAAAGAGACATAAGACTAAGTCTTCCACCTCAAAAAGAGACACAGGACTAAGTCTTCCACCTCAAAAAGAGACATAAGACTAAGTCTTCCACCTCAAAAAGAGACATAAGACTAAGTCTTCCACCTCAAAATGAGACATAAGACCAAGTCTTCCACCTCAAAAAGAGAAATAAGACTAAGTTCTTCCACCTTAAAAAGAGACATAAGACTAAGTCTTCCACCTCAAAAAGAGACATAAGACTAAGTCTTCCACCTCAAAAAGAGACATAAAACTAAGTCTTCCACCTCAAAAAGAGACATAAGACTAAGTCTTCCACCTCAAAAAGAGACATAAGACTAAGTCTTCCACCTCAAAAAAGAGACATAAGACAAAGGCTTCCAACTCAAGGAGGGACACAAGACTAAGGCTTCCATCTCAAGAAGACAAAGGCTTTAACCTTAAGTAAACAACACGGGAACAAGGTGTACTATTCAGAAGAACATCTTTTGTTCAGGAAAATATGTGCTGTGTAAGAACAAAAATTTTGTCCAAGAACAAAATGTATTGTCCGATAACAAAATACTCAGAAATATAATGTACTGCCCCGCAACAAGATATACTGTTCAGAGACATGATTTATTGTCCAGGAATAAGTAATATATTCCAGGAACCATATGTTTTGATTTTGAGTAAGATGTATTGTTTAGAAACAAGATGAAGTATGCATTTAAAAAAAAAATCAAATGAAATAAAATATACAGTATATGGTTCAGGAACAAATTAAATACATTAGCCTATCCAAAAGAAAACTCCAATACCATGCAAAATAATATGATACCCAATAATATTATTGCTAATAATATGATACCCAATAACATTATTGCTAATAATATAATACCTAATAATATTATTACTAATAATATGACACCCAATAATATTATTGCTAATAATAAGATACCCAAATAATATTATTGCTATCAAAATTGACTCTCGTGATAAAAAAAAATACCCAAACCAATTTCCTACATGCTACCTTCACATGAGAACTATTTTCCCCTCTCCCGCCAAAAATATTCCAAGACATCTATGACCCAGCAAGCCGAGAGTCGTCCTTTCAACTCCAGTTCAAATCTCAGGGACTACAAGAACGTCACGTCATGTGGATTAAACTTAAAAACTCCCGAACGCCAACACATTTCACATTTAGCATTCACATGGCATTACTCAGACACAAAGGTTATCTCGTTCTTTGATTTTCAACCCAAGGATTTTATATATTGTTTATTTTTTTACATATGTATATATACTCCATGCATGTATACATGTAAAAACACAATAAGATGTTTGTCAACATAATTCAGTGGTAATATTACATGGTAATATTAATATGATAATTTTACATGGTAATATTAATATGATATTACATGGTAATATTAATATGATATTACATGGTAATATTAGTCATGAGTGTACAAAATTCAGTGGTAATATTACATGGTAATTTTAATATGATAATATTACATGGTAATATTAATATGATAATATTACATGGTAATATTACAGTCATGAGTGTACACATAATTCAGTAATAACATTACAGTCATGAGAGTATAATAAGAGAACTTTAAATTGGGAAACGCTGAGGGAAAATTAGGCGCCAAATTAAAAGAAAAATTATATAATAAATATTACTAAAGCCCTGTGATTACATTTAGTTACTTGAGCTCTTGCTTTACCCTTCGTTACGCTTTACTTTACTTTACTTTTGGCTCAATAAAAAGAGAAAAAATGGAATAATATAAACTTATCACAATATTGCTTAGTATTTTGACAATAGTTTTGTGTATAAACCTGTAATAAAATATTTAATTATTATTACTACTATTGAGAACATTATTCAACATGTTATAAAAATGACTACTGTTGTACATTAGCGTCAAAAGAACTTTATAAAAATAACATCGACATGTAGCAAATTCTGGCCAGTCTTTAACCTTTCAAAGTTCACATCCTCTGCAGCTTGCAAGCCGGGACCCATGGCGGGTTCGATCCCCGAGCGGGGCAGAGGTGGTTGGACACGGATCCTTTCATCTCATGCCCCTATTCGTCTAGGTACCCGGGAGTCGGGCAACACTGTGGGTTGGGCTGACCCCCTGGGGAAAAGGTCAGTATATTTGGCCTTAAGGGGACCTATATTAACCTAACAGGCTGACTGTCCCAAAGAGAAACGTAAGGTAGGCCGTACGTAAGAAAGATCAGTGTTCAGGGTATTTAAAACTGTATTTTACACCCCAATTCATCTCCAGCCATTCAAAAAATGGGAAAACCCGCTGAGTAGGCCTAGAAACTTGCTGGTATCGTGGTAGGCCTAGAAACTTGCTGGTATCGTGGTAGGCCTAGGAACTGTGGCTGGGATTCAAAAATGGTTATCAGACGAATGGTTAAAACAATTGCTTGCCAAAAATTCTAACTTTTCTTACGTGAATAACTGAGAATTAATGGCATTCAATACAGTCTGTAAGTAGCCTCACATCTTGCCCAAATAAATGATAGGCCAAGGATAAAATCCAAGATAAAAGGATAATTCAAGGCAAAAATCAATATGGTTTGAGATAACAATATAGCAGAAATACACACAGACAGAAATCCCAATAGCGTAATGCACCAAATGAACAAACAGGTTTAAGAAAACAGGTTTAAGATAGCAATATAGCAGAAATACACAATCACAATAGCGTAATGCATCAAATGAACAAACAGGTTTAAGATAACAAAATAGCAGAAATAGACAGAAAACCCAATAGCGTAATACATCAAATGAACAAACAAAGTTCGAACCCTCATCACGGCCCTTATGGATATATATTCAATATAGCAGAAACCTATAACAATAGACCACATTATACTCACTCTCCTTCAATAATTGTTCTTTTCTGGCGGGTTTTAGAGAGTACTTCAAGGCGCGCCATCTTGCCCCGTCCACTACGCCCTGGGCCTGAGGCCGGATAGCCAGCCTTGCCGACAAGTATCCGGCTCCGAGTCTCTCCAACGCCTTCTTCTTCTGAGACTTAGACTTCATCTTACACTTCCTTCGTGTATCTGTAGCGGCAGAAGCCTGTCTGTGAGTCTTCACATCCGTCAAGCTGGTTTTGGAGGGAAGTGAGAAAGACGAAGCTTTTCTTGTCATTATTAAGAGACAAAGTATAACAAAATGTCTTTCACTGAGTGGCAAATCAACGACGAAGTCTTCCTGCGGCTGCAAGGTTTAAGTGTCTGATATAAATAGCGTCTTGGTAGGCTCCAAGGCCCGGGAGACGAAGGTCGTACGTCCGTCACGTCCGAGGCCTGAGGCCGCACTGGGTATATTGGGCGGGAAGCGCCCTACCCGCCCTTCTAGTTAACCTAAATTACTGCTAGTTACTATGCTAGTTCATGTATTAACTTGTGCTAGTTGATGTGTAAATACGTGTGTCAATATCCCGTATTGTTTGTTATACGCTAGCGTACTCGTTACCTTAGTTAAATATATATATTTACAGGTTCGTACCAATTATGTAAACGATCTCTGGCTTACTTTATGTTAATCTGAACTCTGGAGAATATAGAACCTCTATGTGTCTTATTTAATTCCTTCAAACGTCAAAAACCATCAAAACGACTACTTATGATTATTGAATACCTTCAAGCTTCCTAAAACAGCCTCAACAGTCAAAGAAATTCAAAACAGCCGCTAAGATTCTCTTATTTCAACCCAATTCTTATGTAACAAAATATTACTTTAAAAATGACATTTAAATCACTTCAAATTTAGTAAGTTTTATTATTAATTTAATATTAAACCGCAACATAATTACCAATCTGTTTTACTCTAACCAAGCCTAATCTAACAAACTTAATTTAATCTATTCTGAGCCAAATTAAGTTTTAATTGTAAATTGAATTAATTTTATTATGAAGATACGATATAACATTTGGAGTTTGCAATGTATATGCTGTCAGATGATATAATAATGTTTCACCTAAAATTTGATTAATCTTAAATAATATATGCAATGTTTACATTCCGAATGGAATGTAAAAATGTTAAATGAAAGGCCAGACAAATTAACTGAGCCTAGTTAATTAACTAGATAAAAAAAATTAACTTAGCCTAAGACAGAACTGGACATCAAATTCCACATCTAATCATATCCCTTCTAAGTGTTATCTAGTCATCTTGCTTTAGCGCTAACTCATAATAATTACCCTACCTTACAGAGTCCTTAGCATAACTGCGTTGTTGATTCAATTCCACCCTGCCGCAATATTTGGGAAGGCAATGTACACACCTGAGGGCCATCTTACAGCACCATTTATCTCTATGGTTATTGAGAGCAATCTTTCGGCTTATGACACGCGGGCAGACTCCACGGGCCAGATTCACGAAGCAGTTACGCATGCACTTACGAACCTGCACATCTTTTCACAATCTTTGGCGGCTTTGTTTACAATAATAAAACAGTTAATGAAATTTGAGCCTCAAGGAGGCTGTTTATAACAACAACAACAGTTGATTGGGAAGTTTTCAAGCTTGTAAACTGTTAAATAAATGTAACCAAAGCCGTCAGAGATTGAGGAAAGATGTATGCGTTGGTAAGTACTTGCGTAACTACTTCGTGAATCTGGCTACAGGTTTCCATAGCCATCAAGAACGCCAAAAGCAGTTCCATAATAAACAAAAATTCTCAAATATAATGCAGTTGCCAAATATACATGTATAAAAGTGGAGTAATTATACAGTGATTGTATAAAGACTGGTGGTAGAAAATGTGTAATATGCCTGTAAGTGAATTATCAATGCAGCCCGTCATCCTAAAATTTCCCAACGTCAAGTAACTGTCGTACTAAATTGCCCTTATCCTAACCAAACCAGAAGACTCAAAACAGAAAACAAAACGTCAATTCCATTGGTGTGATGGGGATCTTTTAGCACCACGTAGCTAGCTAGCTTTTTGACACTGTATTCCCCTTCATATAGTCTAGGGCAGCTGCACAAATGCAGATGTATCTAATGTATTAATAAATATAAAATCCATTTTGTAGTACGTCAATTTTTGGCCTTAGGTAGAGTATACGTCAAAATGCGACGTTCTATTAGGACTAGTTAATGAAGCTAGGGAATTATAAATAACATGTTGTGGGGATACTATTCTGGTGTTGAAATTCTCAACGATATAAACCTCACCATTGCATGAATTAGCCCAACTTTTGTAATAAACCACTAAACTATTCATAAAGTATCCTCATATTTTATTTTAGTTAAGATTTAGAGCTTATTGAAACCCCATAACTTCGGCACATGTGGGCAGTTTGCACATTGTTTAGAAGGGCGAAAATTGGATACTAAAACACACAGTTACCGACTCTTTCAATCACCTGTTCTGATACAACTGTAACCAATGGGTAAACTTAAGTGGAAATATTGCTATATATCATCTATACAAAACATTACAAAAAATACAAATACACAATTATAATGAGAATATAACAAGATTTAATAGTTACACAATGTCAGTCTTGAATCAACTATATTTGAAATGGAATAATAACCCACTATTTTGAGAACCCAAGGAACATACAGTGAATATTTCGGTCTCAAACAGGGACCCTCTTCATTGTTGTTGTTATAGATTCAGCTACTCGGAACAAGTTCCAAGTAGCACGGGCTATGGTGAGCCCGTAACTTACCTGGCACAGGAGCGGGGCAAGTAGCACGGGCTATGGTGAGCCCGTAGTGGACTTACCTGGCACAGGGAGCGGTGCTGACCCTCTTCAGCAGTGAGCCAGATTTATTGATGAAGCCACCCAAGAGGTGGCACGGGCATGAATAGCCCGTAACGCAAGAATTACATTGTTGTTGTTTTAGATTCAGCTACTCGAAACAAAATTTTCATGTAGCACAGGCTATAGTGAGCCCGTATGCGACAATGGCATCAGTAGCGGCTTTTATGGAATTAAGGCCTGGTAACGGGGTTAAACGTTAGGTAATAACCTCCTTATTACATAAGTGCTCACCAAATCTGGTAACCACTGCCCCAAAGAGATATTAAAATTGGGATTATTACCTATAAAAGTACATTCTATTATTTTCCTTTTGAAATCAAAATTTTTTGGGACAAATTATACAAGAATTATATCAAATAATTTTGTGATCGGTCTGTATATATATATATATATATATATATATATATATATATATATATATATATATATATATATATATATATATATATATATATATATATATATATATATATATATTTATGTTTCTTTATATTATATATATTATATATATTTCTTATGTTTCTTTTCACTGTCGATAGTAATTGAAAAATCAATTCTCCAAAATTCATTTTTATTTCTAGTCTACGTATATATATATATATATATATATATATATATATATATATATATATATATATATATATATATATCAACAAATCTTCATATGTTAGTGTGTGTCGGGGGGCAGTGGTGGTGGATCAAGCGCCAGGACTCAGACAAGAACCACCAGGAAGAGTGTAAGGAGAAATGAAATGGCTCTCTTGCAGCACTCTGGGCCGTAGCTGTGAACAGCACTCCTGGGAATAGAGCTAAGTGGATCCTGGCCCTCCCACTGTGATGGTGGCGAGGCTGCTCGCTGCGACTCCCAGTCGGGTTTGAGAGAGAGTGTGTGGATACTCGCCTATTTGTGCATGCAGGATCGAGCTTTAGCTCTTGGATCCGCTTTTCTAGCCGTTGGTTGTCAATTGTAATGACTCGTGGTCTATTTCTCTGGCCTGTGTGTGTAGGGGGGGGGGGGCAGAGAGAGAGAAAGAGAGAGCGTGAGAGAGACAAAGAGAATGAGTGTGTGTAAGAGAAAATTTTCTTGCTCCTGCTCACCGTGCAGTAAACCCGCTCCCCCCCCCCCTCATCTTAAAAGGACACCCCCCTCTCTCATCTTAAGAGTACCGCGCCTCACATCCTAAAAGGGATGACTCAACACCCATCTCAAGGGAGTACCTCCGCTGTTGTATAACCCTACATTAGTACTCCTCGTAGCCCTTTCCCCCTGTTGTTTAGCACTGGGCCAGTACCTTTGTGGTCCTTTCCCCTGTTGTTTAACACTGGGCCAGTACCTTTGTGGTCCTTTCCCCTGTTGTTTAACACTGGACCAGTACATTTGTGGTCATTCCCCTGTTGTTTAACACTGGACCAGTACCTATGTGGTCCTTTCCCCTGTTGTTTAGCACTGGGCCAGTACCTTTGTGGTCCTTCCCCTGTTGTTTAACACTGGACCAGTACCTTTGTGGTCCTTCCCCCTGTTGTTTAACACTAGGCCAGTACCTTTGTGGTCCTTTCCCCTGTTGTTTAATTTCACCAAATTTTCCTCCAATAATTCAATAGTGGCCTTATAATAATTTACGGTCTCGTGAAATCATTCACCAAATCAAAAATGTACAGTACTAATACAATATATGTATATTTCTTTATACCAATGAGCTAAATTAAATACATAAGGATAGTGGCAAATGTGACTTATATGCCACTCTCGGGTCAGAGCCTGGAGTTGTGTGCGTTCCTATGTCTCAGAAAGTTACTTTTCTTCAACATCTTCATCTTCTGTGGGGTTCTTAACTGTAGCCTCTGTTTAACGCAACAGTAAAATGTGTACTTGGATGAAAAAACGATTCTTCGCGGCAGGGGATCGTATTCCAGGGACCATAGGATTAAAGACTTGCCCGAAACGCTACGTGTACTAGTGGCTGTACAAGAATGTAACAACTCTTGTATATATCTCAAAAAAAAAAAAAAAAAAAAAAAGAGGCTACGGCCAAGCTCTACACGGCTACCTATCCAGTACTCTTTGAAAAAACTTGTGTAAAGCTAAAATGCGCACTCATTCCCAGGTAGATCTCGCTTAATTGAATCTTGAGAGTTCTAGGGTTCTTCAGCACCTCAAAAAATCTTGATTACTTGTACCATTTGCTGGGGTAATAAATATGAAAAGCATGAGGATACCCAATGTGTATAGCCCACAACTATATTGTAAATTTATTTACATCCAAGGTGGGGTATAGAGTGAGGGCTAAAAGTCCCCTAGCGCAAAGACTTTGGACCATAAAGAGTTCCACAGGGAAGCTTTAGGTCTTAAGAGTTAAAAAACGAGGTCTATAAGCCTTGAAGAAGCGTTGAGCACGTACACATTACGAAGTCTCTCGTCGCACCAACAGAAAACGAGGATTTATTCGTCCCAGCGGCATGAGGGCTAACTCTGCTATACAAACTCTGAAGGGAAGTAGAATAAATTTAATGAGTTTTTCTAACTTTATTACAAATATTAGCTTTATTTATATTTATCCATAACATTTTCATCTCTTATCAAGGCTTTTCTAAATTTTAAAACCATGTATTTATGTTGGGCGTTTGCCAGTTTTTTGTTAGGCGTTTGCAACGGTTTTGTTGCAAACAAAGAGATACCTGCAGAGATGCCCCACAAACACACCCCATAAACACACCCTACAAACACACCCCATAAACACACCCTACAAACACACCCCACAAACACACCCTTCAACCCATAGAAGCCCACGCGGGAAAACCCGCCAAACAGACCAGCAACAGAACGCAGAAAATGGGAACCCGAGCAGCAGACGACACAATATCAACATGTCCACTAGAGAGAGCAATAGAGTAGGGGAAAGAGGACGGTAACGAGGGAAAAGATGGGAAAGGGGAAGGTGAACATTATGCGAGGAGTGAGCCGATGGAACAGATACGCCATGGTACAATATGGGACACTACGAAATTTATGTGGGTTCAAAGCAGTGTTGCGTTTAGAGAAAAAGTCTGACAATTTTCCGAGCTAA